ATTTTTTGATTTCCCAGTAACTACATAGTCACTTTCTCATGCACGTTCTCTCTCCATTCTCAGGCACACATTTACGCACACTCACACACATACTCATTTTGTAATTTAAAACAATTATTTTTTTTTGTTCTATAAATTTAAAACAGTTGTAAAATTTTCAATAAAGTTCTAGTTTTTCAGGAGGAAGTTTTTGATGTTCTTTAAAATGTCAACTACTACACACATACACACATTTGAAAGTATACAGTATACAAAGAACTTGAATACTCTCCTTTTCTGATGCTCTAAATGTGTACACATATTTTTCCTTTCAATAATTTCATAGTGCTTTTTAGTTATAATAAAATTTATTCATAAGGTTTTCACTGATAACTAAATGAGCTAACTATATCAAAATCCTAGCAGAATCACAGATACTTAGTAAATAAATATCAGTTACTCTCACTTTATTTCCTCAGCCATGATAAATGAAGATAATTTGGGTCTGCATTAGGTTAATTATAATGATCTAACTCTGTTCAAACTCCGTAAAAGTTTTAACTCTGCAAATAATTTCTCTGTGCATATTAGCAAAGCTTCTTATCCCTTAAAGTCTTCATTTCTTCATTACTAAAGTTTAAATGTGATAGAAGATAGCCCCAAAATTCTTTTAAAAAATGTGAGACCCTTACATGAATGTCTTAGAAGTCAGCCTCCTCCCAGAATCGTCAGACACCCAAAGCCAACAGGTATTTGTGTCTCTTATTCAAATTTTTTTCTGGCAGATGAAAAATTGGCAAATCCTTATGATAGTTTTTGTTTAGTAAGTGTTTACAGTGTGATACTGTTTCAAATTTTCCCAGATCTATAGAAATTTTATATCATTTTACAAATGAGAAATTTGAAGCATGAACAAATCAACTAATTTTCTTAATGACATTGATTCAGACAAGGAAGGAGCTGGTATTGAATCCAGGTCTGGAGGTAGGGTGTCAAGTTACACCAGTTTGCCAAAACTAAAGAGTTTCTCCTAATACAGGACTTTTGGTGTTAAACCAGTACAGTCTGGGGAAAACAAGGATGTCACATTATTTGATGATTCTAAATAATTGGGCTGTTATTCTTTATGCCATTTGACTTCTTGAAGACCATTTAAATTGTGATATGCTTACTGTAAAGAACCCTAATCTAAAAATCAGTGAGAATCAGTGGTCTGGGATTCAATTCAGCTCTGTTGTTGGCTTGCTGAATGGATTCTTCCCGGGCCTCAGTTCTCCCACAAAACAAGAAGCTGAATATGTTGATCACTGTAGGTCAACCCAGTCTTCATTCTCAATTTCTTTGAAAACTCCAAGTAGGAGAAAAAGCAGAGCACAGAGGAGTTGTTCACTCAAGAATTTTCACATTCCCTGCTGTCCAGCTACCTCTTGGAGCCCCTGGACTTAGCAGACCCAGGGGACTCTGAAGATGCAGCTTTATAGAGCTCAGAGCAGGGAGTGAGTGGAGGCTGGCAGTGGGGCGATGTGCACAGTTTGTGCAGTACTTGGTATTTCTCCTTTCGGTGGACACTTCACCAGCCTCTCTTCTCTCACCCACCAGAGCTACCCTGAGGAGGTAAGTGAGGTATTCCTCTCTTTCCTCACAGAGGCTCTCAGGAACCTCCTTCATAGCTTCAAAATCCTTAAGTGATTAGGATACAAGGATCTGAAGAAGAGGCAGTCTGTGATTTAAGTTTAAAATTTTTTTCTTGCACTCCATTTCCTTTTTTTTTTTTTTTGAGACGGAGTTTCGCTCTTGTTACCCAGGCTGGAGTGCAATGGCGCGATCTCGGCTCACCACAACCTCCGCCTCCTGGGCTCAGGCAATTCTCCTGCTTCAGCCTCCTAAGTAGCTGGGATTACAGGCACGCGCCACCACGCCCAGCTAGTTTTTTTTGTATTTTTAGTAGAGACGGGGTTTCACCATGTTGACCAGGATGGTCTCGATCTCTTGACCTCGTGATCCACCCGCCTCGGCCTCCCAAAGTGCTGGGATTACAGGCTTGAGCCACCGCGCCCGGCCTTGCACTCCATTTCTATTCCCACATGTACATTCCCCATCTAGTTGTGGTGCCTGAAATGCCACATGCTAGCTTCATTCTTGTAGTTTCACTCTGTGGTTCTGAGTATGCAGAGCTCTGGCTCAGGGGGGCATCTTCTGAAGCCTTTGTTTTGTGTGAAAGCCTTGGTGTGATTAACTCATATGCCACTATTCTCGTAGACAGTGGATAAAATACTGAAATAAAAGAAGGGAACCTCTGACTGGAAAACTGAATGTGGGAAGACGTTTTGGAGTTAGGACCAGGAACTCTCAGCCTCTCAATGTCCTTCTTTATCACAACTTTCCTAGTTGCTATTTATTCAGTACATGCCTTGTGCCTGGGACCAGAATGAGCACCATGTATGCTTCACTTTGCATTACTCTTTCTGTTCTAGAGATGTGAAATAAGATGTGAAGAAGCTAACCAAATTCACAGCTGGTATGTAGCAATGGTGACATAAAAATTCAGTTATAAGATGCTAGGGGAGCTATTTATACTTAAATACATTATTTTACACTCAAAACATGTAGCTCTTATTTTAATATGTTCTTTCTATTAATAAAATAGTTTATTTATTTGATCAATATTTTAACCATTAAAACTAGAACTGGTAATCTCTGAGTCCTAGTCTAGGTCTCTATATGCCCAGTCACTCACCTAAGCATTGAGAATATAATGAGAAAGAACACAGACAGTTACAGGGACGTATAAATTGCTGAGGAAACAAAGATACTAATCAACTAACCCTAACCCTAACCCTAACCCTAACCCTAACCCTAACTCAACAAATACATAATAAATGCACTATACTTTAAGGTGTGATCAGGAAAGCCACAAAGAAAAATATGTGTGAGGGTGTTTAACAGGCAAAACCAGGAGAAGAAATGAAATGAATGATTAGAATTATAGGAAGAGGGCAAGTTCTTAGGTTGCCTTTCAGCTTCTATAAGCCATGATAAGGACTTGAACTTTTATTTAAATTCTTATTTCATAAGGTAAGTGAAGCCATTGAAAGGTTTTTAGTAGGAGAGTAACAACATTCTATTTACATTAAAAACAAATAATTTGGCTGCTTTGTGTAGAATGGATTAGACAGATACATGACACTAAGCTGAGTGATCCTCAGGAAGGTTCTACAGACATTCTGGTTAAAGACGTTGAGGGATGAGTGACAGCTGGAAGTGAGATGGAGAGACAAAACCAGGGTTGACACTGGATTAATAGATAAGCGAACAGGAGAAGGTGAGAAATAGCAAGAATGACTTCCAGGGTTTTCAGCATGATCACACGAATAGACAGTGATTGGTGATGAGATGATAAGTTTGAAGATGATAAGACATAGTAATTGACATACAGTTCAATTTAGCACTTGTCATGTTTGAGATGACAATGAACTCTTACATTTGGCAAGTGCAATAGGAAATTGGATGCATGAACACATATTAAGAAGAGAAGCCTGAGCAGCAGACATATATTTTGAATAACTGAGGTACAGAGCAGAAACAAAGAGGACATTATGGGTAGACAATAATTTCAAAAGTATTAGTTGTGAAAGTGAGTGGAAAATGGGTGATTACTAGGAAGACATGAAGGGGCAGTTAAGAGGTTTGCTGTAGTTTGTGATTGTTTGTTTCCTATGATAGTCACTTCCAAAATTGATCCTCAGTGGGGAAGAAGTGATGTGAGTGGGACATACTTGAATGCTGACAGGAGTGATCTAAATTCCTGATTCTCACACTTGGCTTCCTGTTGGAATTGCCTAGGAGTTTAAATACATGTTTATTCCTGAGTTCTACTGGCCAGAGTCAAATTTAAGTAGTAGAGTTTTCTTCTGAGCAAAGGAATTTTGTAAAGCTTCTTAATTGAGTCTAAGATACAGCAGAATTTGAGAATCTGTGATCTAAACAGACATAAAAATATTAAAATATAGAAGAGAAAAACCAAGACAATAAGATGTGGAGGAATGTGATATTCAGGACCCTTGGGAAATAAATGAGGGCTTCAAGGCACAAAGAAAGGGCAGAGAACTGAAATAATACTTGAGCTATAGGCAAGAGAGGAGAGGCAGCTTAAAATATATACAAAAGGTGTCATCACTTGCACAAGGGACATCATGTTTCTTATCTATTTCTTTGTGCCTCTGATGCTCAACCCCAGTCATCTATTTCAATAAAACCACACAGGATTCTTTGAAGGCTTTGCAAAATATTACTGGCAGAGTTTGAGCAGTAGACTCGTTTTAAAGAAGAGATTCAGAGGATGTTTATCTTTACTCCATAAATTTGAGTTTTCAAGACCTGCTTCAACAGGGCATTTTTAATATCCTTGAGGATACTGACCCTCCATTAGGATTCCTGCCATCAGGTGTTGGATCCTGGGAATAGCTAAGACTCAAGTTAAGAGGTTTTGCCAAGGTAATTGGGGTATAATTTAGAAAAAGGATTTCCTCAATTTCTTGTTTTTAAATCCAAGATTATCCATTCTCATAATTAATTGTTCATCTTGTCACAATATCCATCAGTAGGTGGGAATGTTATGGAAAGACTTCATGGAGGACATGGTACACCTCACTTATGGAAGAAACTGATGGCTATGACCTGGTAGAGAGAAAGGGAACGCCATTTTTCACCATTAGAAGAAGATTTGAACCAATGTAAAAAGATATAAAGACACAAGAAAAATAAAGGATAATATCTAAAAATTAGTCAAAGGTTTCTATGAGGAAGAACCTGGAGCTCATGACAGGTCTAGGGGTGCTGCCAGACTGTAGAAGGTATGAATGTAACCTGCTTTATAATGAACTTTCCAAGTGTTGGGCACCAGAAGCTAAGCATCATTGTCTCTCCTAGTTTTAGATATCAACCCCTCCTCGTCTTCACTTCTCCCACCGTCTCACCTCAATTCACTCTGGTTGTTTCCCTAAATTCAGTCAGAAACCCTGATGGGAGGGCTTGGGACTAACATCTCAAGTACTACCAGCTTCACCCTAACAGGCTTCCCGCAGATGAAGGGTCTGGAGCACTGGCTGGCTGCCCTTCTGCTGCTGCTTTATGCTATTTCCTTCCTGGGCAACATCCTAATCCTCTATATCATCAAGGAAGAGCAGAGCTTGCATCAGCCAATGTACTACTTCTTGTGTCTTTTGTCTGTTAATGACCTGGGTGTATCATTTTCTACACTGCCTACTGTACTGGTTACTGTGTGTTTTCATACCCCAGAGATGACTTTTGATGCCTGCCTGGCCCAGATGTTCTTCATCCACTTTTTCTCCTGGACAGAGTCTGGCATCCTGCTGTCCATGAGTTTTGACCGCTATGTGGCCATCTGTAACCCGCTGCGCTATTCCACAGTGCTCACTGATGCCCATGTGGTGCATATGGGCATGTTCATTATTGTCCGCAGCTTCTGCATGGTTTTCCCACTGCCTTTTCTGCTGAAGAGATTATCCTTCTGCAAGGCCAACGTACTCTCCCATGCCTACTGCCTGCATCCAGATCTGATCCGCCTGCCCTGTGGTGACATCACCGTCAGTTATATCTATGGTCTATTCATTGTCCTTTTTTCCTTTGGCCTGGATTCTGCCCTCATTCTCCTCTCCTATGTGCTCATACTCCACTCTGTACTTGCCATCGCCTCCCGGGAGGAGCGATTAAAGACTCTTAACACCTGTGTGTCACACATGTGTGCTGTGCTCATCTTTTATGTGCCTATGGTGTGTGTGTCCATGGTTGCTCGGTATGGGAGGCATGCCCCATGGTACGTACATACACTCATGTCCCTTATCTATCTCTTTGTGCCTCCGATGCTCAACCCTGTCATCTACTCCATTAAAACCAAACAGATTCATCGAAGGATTTGCAAAATACTACTGGCAACCAGGATTTGAGCAGGATACTTGCTGAAAAGAAGAAATTCAGAGGATGTTTATCTTTACTCCACAAATACGAATTTTCAAGACCTGTTTCAACAGGGCATTTGTAATATCCTTTAGGGCACTTAACCTTCCATTAGGGTTCCTGCCATCAGACGCTGAATCCTGGCAATAGTTAAGACTCAGAATAATAGGTTTTGCCAAGGTAAACTAGGCTATAATTTAGAACAGGTATTTGCTCAGTTTTCTTCTTTTTAAATCCAAGAATATACATTCTCATAATTAATTGTTCATCTTGTCACAATATGTAGCTATTATCTTTTGTTTAATGTGAATCTTCAGAAAGGAAATAACTGATAACCATGGATACACTGCCATTATGAGGAAGAGTTTCTTTTCCCAAGTATTATGTCAAAGAGATATTAGTTAAAAATCACACACGCGCGCACACACACGCACACGCACACACACACACCCCGCAACCCAATAGGTATGCATGCCATTATTCATTTCATATAATATGCATCATCCACTTGGTGTTTAGAAATGGTATGTGTAACTACATGTAAATTATATTAAATTATATAACTTTAAGTAATATTAAAAATTGGTAAAGTTTGTAGGATAGTTTATATTGTATATGTGTGTATAGATACAGGAATTAACAAAATAGTAAACAGGAAGACTATGTGGTAAATACATGAAATATATATATAGAGAGATTTACATATATATGTATATGTGTGTATATACACATATAGGATTAAAGTAATTTTTAAATAAATTCTTTAATATAATTCAACACATTAATGACTGAAATAATAAAAACTCAATGTAAGCAATAGGCTTCAGAAAAGGTGAAATGAAACAAAAATGTGTTTTACATAAAAATAAAGCAATTGTTTTTGGTATATTAACTTGTCAGATGATATGCTTTGTGGTTAAAACAATTAAAAAAACTAATTTTTTTTTTATCATTTACTTAAAGGAATTCTTGAGCAATGTAGTGAAACTTGAGACAGAAGGAGCTAGTTCACCTTATCCTTTTATCTGTGATTGAACACTAAATCCTGACAACTCCAATGAGACTTTGACTTATACTGTCTCTATCTCTGTGTCTACATCACAACTGTTGCTACCTTATTTGGGGCCTTTATTTTCTCCTGTCACTTCACATGCCATTGTCTTCCAAACTGATCTCGTTGATTACCGTTCTCTTTTTTCACTTTCCATGCCACAACGATAACGATCTTCCTGAAGAGTCTATCTGATTATAAAATGTATCATATCCTTTAGTTTTTACCTAAGAATCAAGTCCTTTAGCACATCTCTTAACGTTATCATTACAGCAAGTGTCTATCTTTTATGTCTTATTATCCTTAACCATTTTTCCCACCCCAAAATAATTTTATCTAGCTATACTAAACTACATGTGGTTCCTGAAACAACAGACTGCTTTATGCTTCTGCAGTTTTGTTCTAGTAGCCTCTATTTAGAAGTTCTCTTTGTGCATATTCCTGACACTGCACATCCAGTCTATTTATCCATCAAAACAATATTTATTAAACAGATACCATGGGCCAGGCACTGACTCAGCTTTTGGGTTATTCACTCTATGAAGAATTTCCAGCCCTTTGTTTACTACATGACCTCTACCTACCTGCTCCTTCTACCTCAAAAACTAATAATACAGATATTCTCTTATTATTATACGAATGTATTTTTAAATGTAGAATATCACAGCACTTAGACACCCATTCTGTCCTTTTCTGTTTCCTGCATATAGTTGTCTATTTGAATGATAAGTTTCTTGAGAGAATGAATTCTTTTCTTAATATTAGAATAAATACAAAGTTTTTGAAATGTATTTCATGGCCTTAGAAAATGTCAGTCTCCCTGAGACTCAATTTAATTATTTATAAAATAGATTTTTAAAATTACTAGATTGTTGATTTTTTATAAAGTCTAAAGATAATGTATGTAAGATGGTTGAAATACTGGTTAGCATATCGTATGTACTTAATAAAAAAAACTCTTATGGTAACCAGATTTTTATCTTTTAGAGTTTAGCACTGTAAGATAACATAATAAATTTTAATACATACTTATTGAATAGATAAATGAATTAGTGTGACCATACTGTCATTATTCACAAATAATATTTCTTATGGATCAAGAAAGCACAAAGGCTTAAGTGTAAATATTACTGAAAATGGATAAAATTTTACATATATGATACAATAATATGAAACCATTAATTTCCAAGTACTTTAAAATACTTGAATTAATAAATGATTTAATTCTGAACAAATTAATTTATCTTGGAAACATTTTAATGAGAAATTTTATAGAAGAAAATTCCAAAAATTATGCATAGATTTAAAAATAAGATTGGATGGATGAATACAAAAGCATGTGTCTAAATGGAAAGATTAAACAAATAATGTAAAGGTGTCAGTTCTCAATTCAGCTTGTGCAATTCTGAATGTTTTTGGTAATCCAACAAAATAATTTTCAAGTTAGTTCGTAATTCTTTTACAAATGAGACTGTCTACCCTTAAAAGTTTTAAAAAGGTGATTGAATGAGAACAGAAATATAATAGACCTTCCAAATGTTAAAATGTGGAGACAAAAACAAAGAAGCTGTATTAATTAAAATAGAACATGTGCTGCCAGAACAGATTTCTAGCACAGAATAGCTGAAAAGAGTGTAGAAACCAAGTAAAAGAATATTTTCAAATAAAGTACTTATCAAATAACATTACAGATACTGACTTTTGTTTTGATAAAAACGCAAACAGGCCGGGCGCGGTGGCTTACGCCTGTAATCCCAACACTTTGGGAGGCCGAGGCGGATGGATCACGAGGTCAAGAGATCGAGACCATCCTGGTCAACATGGTGAAACCCCGTCTCTACGAAAAATGCAAAAAATTAGCTGCGCATGGTGGTGTGTGCCTGTAATCCCAGCTACTCAGGAGGCTGAGGCATGAGAATTGCCTGAACCCAGGAGGCGGAGGTTGCAGTGAGCCGAGATCGCGCCATTGCACTCCAGCCTGGGTAACAAGAGCGAAACTCCGTCTCAAAAAAAAAAAAAAAAAAAAAAAAAAGAAAAAACAAAAAAAAAAAACCGCAAACATGCCATTGTTAAATATTTGAACATTTGTCTAGAACAAGTATTTCAAAGGATTATCAGAAATATTATTAGTATCTGGTTAGTGAGATTTGGGAAAATGCATTTTCTGCTTTTCTACAATGCATATAAATTAAGTGTGTAATAATCTGAGGCAGAAGGAGAGAAAGAAAGAAGACAGATTTTTAGATGAATGCTGGAAACTGGGATTAGTCTGAGAGCTTCAAGGAGGTGAGCCTCAAAGGGAGCAGTCAGATCGTTGGTATTCTCTGGTTCTCCACTGAGGTGCCCTCTGAGTGCACCTCTCTGCTCATCTCAAGGGATAAGTGTTCCTCTTTCCTATAAAGCCATTTTATCCAGATGTGACTATGGGCTGCAAAGGGCCCATCATCATTACCCATGGGGCCCACAAGAGACTAGTTTCCCCTGGCACTCAGGGAATTCAGTATATCCTGGGAACAATCTTACCTTCAACTTCCCAGCTCCCTCTTCAACAGAAGGCAGTGCTAACCAGAATGTGTTGTCTGTAGCCAAAGGATAGTATCGGGTAACTAATCTGAAATTAAACAACACAGCATTTTATGTATGGTTGGGCTGATATCAGGACTACTAATGCCACCTGATCTCTTCATTTATCTGGGCTAATTAGACCAGTCATTTAAAATCTCTGATGCTTATTTTAACAACGGCTAACTGATACAAATAATAACATTTCTTTTACTTTTTTTACTACTTTATTAAGATGTAATTGACATACAAAAAACTCTGTGTATTTAATGTCTACAATTTGATGAGTTTGGACATAAGTAACAGTCATGAAGCCATCACAGCAATCCATATCATAGTCATATGCATCACCTCTTAAAATTCCCTCTTACTCTATGTATTTATGGTGATGAGAATACTTAAGATCTACCCTCTCAGCACATTTTTAAATATACAAAATTGTATTGTTAATCACAGTCACCATTTTGTATAGTAGATATTTAGGACTTTATTTAGTATGTATTCATCTTGTGTAACTGGAACACTGAACCCTTTGACCAAGAGCTATTAGTAAAGTATTAGTAGATCCTCATCTTGGCTAATTGGTTAGGGGGATCCATAAGGCAGTAATGTTTAAGCCAAGAGTTGGTGGATGAATAACTAGCCCAGTAAAGGGAAAGTGCATGGAGAAAAGCTTCCAGGGCATGTGAAACAGCGTTTGTTAAGGCCTTGAGGTTGGAGTGAACCTTGCATCTTCAAGGAACTGAAAGGAGGTCATTTTGGTTGGAAGAGAAGATCAAGAGAACAATGATTCAACATAAGTTGAAAATGAAGATCATATTAGCCAGTGCTTTACAGGCAATACGAATGTTTGGATTTTATCACCATGAAAATAGCATGATGAAATTTGACTTAATGTTGATGTAATTTGGAAAATGAACTAGAAGAGGACTGAATAATGTGAGGAAATCTGTTAAGATGCTATTTAAATGTTGATATATGGATCTAGAGAGTGACTGTGGGACTGGTAAGAAGTCAATGAAATAGAAAGATACTCAGGATTTGGATTCAAAAGGATATAATATTTTTGCAAGTAGAGTTCATAAGTCAAACATGTATTTACCGAGCTCACTCCTCTCTACCCTGGCCATTTCTATTTACCTTTTAGGTCTCAATTACACTAATCTTCCAGATTGTTTTAGTTCTTTTCCTTTAAAGTGGTTCCTATTCCTACTACCCTTAACTCATTCTCTAAAGCAAATTAATGCATGTAATTATTTGTTTAGCCTGTTGTCCTGATCACTGTGAGATTGGAGAAAAGGCTTATCCTGTTCACTGTCATACCTGAGCACCTCCTTCAGTGTGGTTTTTTTATCTTGAAGATGAGTTTACACTAAC